CCTAAATTTCTTAAATTTTAAGAAAAAACATGCTTGTCTATAACGTGTCACCTTTATATATTTATAAAGAATTCTAATCTATAGAAAAGAAAAAACAGCCTTGAGGCCATTGACTCTAGGTTCTCTAGGTCTAGGAAGCTGGTGTGAAAACATAAATAAAATACTTCAGTATTTTAGTTTCGTCGCAAAATGCTTGAAAATAGATATTTTTTTTTATCTTGATTACATTTACAAGTGTAATTTTATTATCATATCTACTTGTTTAATTGTTTGCCTCCAACTTGCCGGAGTTTTGTCGAATGACCACAGAGTTATTGTATTCAGAAATATAAAGTGTATTGTTACTTCTATTATTGTTAAATCATATTAATATTATTCCATTTAACTGTAAAGTATGAGTTATTGTACTGATGCTTTCCTGGGTGAGCGTACTGGGAGATTGTAAAGCTCACCCAGTTGATGAAATAAATAAATAAATACTAGACGTACTATTTACGAGTTAATTGTTTTTTTTTTATAAAATAAACTTTTGGGTTAATCCTTTATCACCGTATCAATAGATCTTATTATATGAATAAGTGTAAAGTTCAATTTTCTTAATTCGTTCCAAAAATGTATTCTTTTAAATGTTCATACGCTCGTTTTATGTAGTTCAAGCTCTAGTTTTTATCCGTATTATATGTAAGAGAACTTCCTAAGGCAAAGGAGAATGCTGAATGGCCTCGTGTCGTAATACCTACCGAGCAAGTAGGTACTTACGAGCAATACGGCACATTTAATTGGAAAAAACAATAACGATACGTGGGTTCGACAAATAGGAGGGTTCATTTAAGAAATTAGTTTCTTCGGAAAACCTATTTTATATAATTTCTTGTTATGTTCACAAGATTTTTTTATTTGGACTGTGTATTATATTTTAAGTTTATCGAATGCCATAGATGCTATACAGGTATACTATAAAATGAAATATAAGTCATCTACTATAAAAAAAATATAGCTCATATGTCTTATTTTCACGATGTTTTTAAAACGCGAAAAGGTAACAAATGAATAGCAGGGCTTCCAACAGTGGGTAATGTGGCCGCTGTTGGTGGTTTAATGCTGAGATAGGAACTCTTTAGTCATTTTGTCTCTCTTTTGTAATTATGGTTAAATATCACACAAATAAAGCAGTAAGATTTGGATACAGTGAATAAGGGTTTTGACAGATGATACCCGTACATTCGTGGCTTAAATAGCTATTTCAAGTATAGTTATAGCTATACAAGCTATTTCACTGTTACATACTTTTTTTAAATCAGCGTGTAAGTACATAATGTTTAGTTGAATGACGTTATTTTTGTTTAACAGATTGAATTACATACTGATTTAAAATTCCGTGCATGATCGACTAACGCCAAGCACGTTTGTGCTTAAGTATTTCCTTAGCAAAAGTTTTTTATTACGTTTTTTATATTTATTCATATTTAGAAGAAAATCAAAAGTATTTGCTACTAACGCGTCTAGAAAGGATGAGGTTAATGTTATGTAATAATGAGTCCGGAATGAATAAATTCAAGGGAAGAGAAAGATTAAAAAAAGATGGATTATATACTCACATTCTTTCACATCTCCACAATATCCTTTTTAATTCTTCTTCCCTTTGCTACCTAAAGGAGCGGTTTAGTTTCCTACATTTCGTCAATCCTTTTATCTATTGAAATCTAAGGTCATCTGTGGGCTTCCAGCTGAGGATACCAATACTTTTCTCTAGTTTTTACAACAAATCGTTTACTATGCAAACTGTACTACTATAGAATGGTTTATCAGTTTCTATAAATAACTAATCTATTTTATTTATAGAAACTGTTAAACCATTCCATAGTAGTACAGTTTGCTAAGTATGTATTGATAAGTATGTATAGTACTCCAATTACCTACTGTTGCGTATTAAATGTGTGATATTTTGCTGTAACTCAAAACATTAGGCAGTTGTTTTAATTTTTAAATGGAACAATTTAACAATAGTTTGGACTTTCACTCACGATCCACGATGTTGATATCCTTGGTTGTTGATCTTTGCAAGGTACAACTAAAAGCTGTATTAGCTACTTATTTTATATTGAAACTGAAAGTTCTACACCAAGATTTTTATGCAGGCGGGGCTAAATACTTATTTGTTAATCTTTTTACTTATATTAAGTGTACAAAGTTCTATACCTTCTGTATCCCATGGCTTCGCTCGAGTGAAACAGTATATAAAATATCCTTTATGTTATGTTATTCGTCTGTGTACCAAAATAATTCAAATCCGGTCAGTAGTTTTTGCGCGAAAAAGTAACAAATATCATAAATAAATGATCCTCACTGATTTTTGCGTTTATAATAGAATAGTATGGTAAAGTATTAATCTGTAATATTACCTATTTACGTTTGATGTGTGGGCGTAATGAAGGTTTAGTCGTTAAAATATACATAGATATGACAGGTAGCTATATCACATAGTTTATCATATTAATTGTAGGTACAGATAAATTGGTCAACTGCTGTAATGATCTTAAATAAAAAATGTTGTAATGTTTAGGGTTAGGTGGGCACGAGAAAAACATCTGCATGGTCATTTGTTTGAAGTACTTCTATGCATAATATTTTTTAACTCGGCTAATAACTACTAAATACTCGAAAAGCGGGTGTTATGGATAAAATGCAATAAAATTTTCATTATATACATTAAATATAAATAAATAAAATAACGGTTTGTGTGATAAATCACCAGTTACAAGATTAATATAATCGTATAAGTGCGCTACTTAAAAAAATAGTTTTGTATAATTCATTCTTACCACTTTATGTCAGGTCGTCAGTTTTTTTGCCATTTTAGTTGTACAAAAAACTCTAAAAGTTTAAAACACTTTTTATTTAACAAACATACAACCAATTTGTATTGTCTATAATCATATTCTTTGCAATTTTTTCCGGATGTCTATCAAACACAGAGCAAATATAACTCCAAGAATAACTCCGTTCACATATATATTAACAGTGAAAATACAGAATGTGAGATGATTTATAGAACCCTCCATAGTAGACGCCCAACGCGCTCTTGGCCTGCTTTTTTTGGGTTAGTCGGAAGTGTCCTTGAATTACGAGTAAAAGTCGGTCGCGAGAACAGCCTTAGGTCACTGTCTTGGTTGTAGTTTCATTAATGATAGCATCATCTGTTCTACAAAAGATTACGTAGGTCGATAAAATTGTAATGCTGTTTATCACGGCTTTGTATAATTTTTTTTTAAATAGCTATGAATGAAATGACCTAATAAGTAAGTATTTAAAATTTATTTTAGGACAGCGCAGCCTGTTTTATTTTTGGTAAAATCTGTTCCTAATGTGCAGGCAATCTGTGGAACTATTTCGTCTTTTAGAGGACGACTTTTCTAATATTTGGTGTCATGTGACTCGTATATAATTTAATCATAATTATATTAGAAGTACCAATACAGATTTTGTTATTACGCGCTGTTTTGTCCGTGGATATTTTTATGATAGGTATTATTGTAAGATGTTATTCTTGCTATATAAACTACATTTACTTATTTACTCGTACTAGTATTATGTTTCTATTGTATTTGTCTTGTGTTTTGTAATATTTTAATATCACTCTCTCTTATGTTTAATATTTCTATTCTTCGTTATCATTAAAAGTTTTATATTTTAGTTATCCTAAAGGAGTGTAGAGTGACAACGTAAAAAATTTTTTCCTTTAAAAAAAATATATATATTTATTAATTATTCACTTGAAAACTGAGATACAAGGTGTTACATATAAAAAGTATAAGTACACGTATCGCCATTAATAGGCATATAAATGTTGGGTTCATAATACTATTTTTATTTATATTACTTTATTATGTTATTTTATATTTATTTTATGTGTTAATTTAATAATTTATTTGCTCTATTATATTAGTAAAATATATCATATTACTTTATTATTATTTTAGAATTAGGAAGATAAGGATCGCCTTGTAGTTCCGGCATAGAATAGGTCACCACTTCTTTCCTTCCCTTACGTGGGTGTCGTAGAGGTGACTAATGGATAGCGAGGGATAAGCAGCAGTGTCTCTCTTAAAACATTTCAAAAGCCTAACTGTTATTGCCAACCTGCTGGCCAAGTGCGGCAACTACTGGCAAAACCCCTCAAGGGGAGGCTTATGTTCAACAATGGACAGTTTAAGGCTGATATGATGAATAGATAAAGATAAAATTCTAATTGACACATTTGAAACGCTTCGCTGGTTCGGAAAATAAAAAATGTTACAGCAACATTAACCTGACTTTATTATGCGATATATCAAATGATCATAAAAAATCAAGTTCATTTTTTATATTCATATATATATATATATAATTGTCATTTGATATACTCAGAGTATTTCAGAGGTCACTTGACTACATAACCCTCGTTAAAAATAATTTTCATTTACACGAGATTGAATACATTACTTATGTGCAAATTTTCTCATGAGACAAATGGCGCATGGGAAAATATATGGAACGTTCTCATATGTTAGTTACATAACCCAAATTGATAGCTTCTTGCTTTAACTCTATTAACAAATTGTATCTGCATAGAATTAACGAACACTAGTCTTCACCTATGACATCGTCTGCGTGTGCGTAAAATTTTATGACGATTTATTGATAACGACTGAACAAACAAACTCATTTTCACATTTATAATATTAGTAAAGAGGGAGGAAAGGGATTGTTAATAATGGGCTCTAACTGCCTCATTGCAAGCAATATAACCTATCAGGTTGACTTCTAGGCGGTTCTGTGAAGAAACCATAGTGGTTAATAATTGTTGAATTCGTCAATATTGGCCAATTGAAATGCTTCGTCTTTACCTATCATCTCTCACTGGTATCCCGACAGTCTATACCGATAGCGCCGGTGGGGTCATTATTTTATTTTCACCCATTAAAAACAATATTAGTAAGAATGTGTTTTATTTTTCACAGACAGTCGCGATGGGGGCTCATGCGATATTTCTATGCGCGTGGTTGACTCTAGCAACGGCTACATTAGAAGTTGTGAACCAATGGAGTCTACTACAGTTCGATTTCCCGCCTGATCCAGTCCTATTGGAGAAATTTCAACCCGAAAACACAGTTCCCACAGGTTTAGAGATTGGATGGGACAAAATTTACTTGGGTATTCCGCGTCTGAGGGCAGGAGTTCCAGCTACAATGGCTTGGGTACCACGTAGTCTACCGCCAGGCGTCAGTCCCGTACTCCAGGTGAAGTAATGTTTTTTAAAATAATCTTATTTAGTAATTCAATAACAAGTTATTATTACTTTATTAAGTTAGAAGCAAATTATTTAGCATTTAGTTATTGTTATTTAAACTTCCAATATGAGTTTGCTACTAATGCGTCTGATTTCTAAATACTCCAACTGAGGATTGTAGACTTGGTAATTGATTTAAATATATTATTCAGATGAATGCAAGCTCTAATGATATAATGGTAGATTTTAGTTCCAGCAAATAAAATGCATCAGACCCTTCCATTTACTGGTAGAATTATTAACGTACCTAGTGGGCAAATCATTCAGTGTCTCACCCAGTACTTTATCGCAGATTAATTTACTAGGTAGTGATAAATTTAATTAAAGTTGAAGACATGTCAAAGCAGTAAACCGATGGTGGTAATTAAATAATTTATTGTTTGTAGATGATGATTAATATGTATCCGCGCACGTAGATACTGGCATCCGTGAAATGAATTTAAAAAAGGCATATAGCCACGGTTGATGGCATCGGCGTGGTTTCAGGAGATTACTAAGTATAAATAGTATTATTTTAAAAAATGTATTTCAAAAGCAATATCTAGCGATAGTAGATTCGCAACCAGTAGAGATATCTCTCTAACATTCACAAATACTAAGATGAAAATTTTTGCATTCCGACAGGATACAATGAATATCGTTATGATTTCACAAATATTTGAAGGGATTTTTGAAATATGAATACTGAATTATAGAACGTTTAATATGTTAATACACTGTTAGTTTTAATTATTCTCGGGTTACATGACAATAATGTTTAAAACTGTTACATCAATTTCATATGAAGAAATCTGACTATACCACTAGTCAGCTTACATGCACATACTAACCTAGTCTATAGATCATTTCATGTCTATAATCACGCGTTTTTATAATGTTTAATTGAAATTTTAATTGCATTAGCGTTCACTTACTGTCTGTTTAATTTTTTCACGTATAATTTTCGTTCAATGCGGCTAATAGTGCAATAAATTAAACAGGTATAAAGGTTCAGGTGTAATAACCGGGTACCCGTAAATAATGTAGACTGCGATGAACAATCATAGACAGCGATGTGATATTAGGAGAAATTAAATCCTTAATATTTAAATAGAATCGATATGGATTAAGTATCTTGTATTCTATATTTTTTTATAATATAAATATATAAATGCACACTTAAATACCAAAATATCTTATAAATCAAAAATTACTAATATTCAAATTAGTTTAAGAAATACTTGTCAGTACAATTCTATTTACATCATTAAATTATTAATATTTTTAATTATCTTTTGCCCGCTATTTCGTACGCATGGATTTCAAAAGTAGAAAAATAAATAAAAGTGATCACTTTTAGATGGTGTACCAAAGTGAAATATACACTAGATTTTAAGTAAGACTTTGTCAATACAATTGTGAATACTGCATCCAATTTGGAACGGTAATTTTGCGTGATGCTGGAACAAACATACAGACAGACAAATAACATTTCTAAAAAATATTGTTTTGGCATGTATTGATTTTATTAAAACCCATTCATATTATTCATATTCTGGTGATCTGTACTACAGGTCTTAACCTATTACAGACACCAGCTCCTCACAGCAGAGTTCCATATTATATCCTAAATACCTATGTGTAAATTTAAGTTGTTTGTGAGGAGACATAAATAAATATATTATTATTATTATTATATATTATTTTTTAAATATCTTTCGCGTACAGACATCGTCTAGTTATGTGTAATTTTATTAGTTACAATAGTAAGAAGTACGAGTAAGATACACCTGGCTGGTTTCACCTCATTTCATTTTCAACTATCTATGTTTGAGAGAACGTCGACGACTACGACTTAAAAAAAGAGGAGGTTCTTAATTATGCTGTATATTTTCTGTTGTGTGTGTGCAATGGGTATATTGCCAATTAAAAACTGATTTTCGTTATTTTTAGAATAAATGAAGTTTATTCTCATGTTAGGCGTGTGGTCCCAGTATAAAATAGGCCACCCCTTCCTTTTTCGTGGGTGTCGTAAGAAACGTCTCTAGTCTAGCAAACTCTCCAGTAAAGAGAGGTCTATGTTCAGCAGTGGACAATTAACAGCTGATATACATAATATTATTTTTATATTATATTATTATATATATTATGGTATCGTCATGTTGAATTAAATTGCTGTTATGGCGCGAAATGAAATCTTAAGCTCTTTCGTCACTTATTTTTTTCATGGTTTATATTTATCCTTTTACAGATTCATTAGGTCTATTTAAGGATATAATTAGTTGTAATTAATATAGCGTATAATTATTGGCTAATGTGCAACTATACAACTATAATTACGGAGCTAGTCGCGAATTCCAAGTTCTGATTGGCAACGAGTCCGTGTCCTCGAGGCCAGTTACTGCCCTTCACGCTTTCCCATATCTGCGTGTGCGGATAGAGTGTGTGTAGAGTATACATTCAAATTAATAGATTAATCTATTTACTTAATTATTCAAAGCTTATATTTCATTTTAAATACACTATACATTTTGTACCTAAAATGTAGAGTAGATAAATGGCTTGTCTTGTAAATGAAATTTTCTTTAAGATGATCGATGTACTTATGCATAAATAGATTACTTATATTGAAATTTTTTTGATGGGTGAAAACGGTATGCTAACCCCACCTACGCTAACGGGATACGCTGGCGGAGCACCAGTGAAGGGTGATAGATGAGAATGAAAACAGGCCAGTTAGCCCATCATGATGAATTCATCGCGAGGAGGTCGACCTGGTTGGGTGTATTGCTAGCAATTGGATTCTCAGTCTCTATTACTAACAATCCCTTTCCCCCTTGTTGAATATTCAATATCATCGTAATTTTTGTCACAATCTTTAGCCGAGACTATATCTTCTGCATCGTGGGACTGAGTCATGTTAATTAACGGGCTTAAAAAGTAGTCTATGTCTTTTTCCAAGTTATTTACTAGGTATATAGGTTTGACAAATTTTAAGAACATTGGTTAAGGCTTTAAGAGTAAAATTACAAAATACTAAAATACTATTAGTAAAGATAAAACAAGAAAATATACGCAATTGCATACAATATAATTACTAAGTCCTTAAAATCAGACAATAATTTTTTCTCGTGTTCAATTTAATAACGCTAAATACATCAATATAGCAGTAGGATATTGAGTAACACTAAGTATTTAAAGTGAAACAATGAACAATACTTACAAATTAAGCAAAAATTAAGCAGTTGTAATATTCTTAACCAGTAAGCGGTCATGCACAAATGTACAGTAATTACGCAAGTACATTCTGGTTAACCTATCTTAGTTTTACTAGTAGCTAGTAGGTACCTACTAATTTCACAATAGTCTAGTGATTTAAATATTGGGTTATAATTTATTTCTTTGGTTTGTAATAAGTATATTCCAAATGTTAGAATATTAATAATGTAATTAATGTAATGATAGGTTTTTTTTATATAGGTGTCTTTTAATTGCCCTGTCACCGGTTTATTTATTATTGATACCTTGGCCATAGATAATGTAATATATGATATTATATTAATACCTTGATTGACACAAAAATGAGAGCGGTGCTGCGTGTGATATTATCAAAATATTAGAACTGACAAATAAAAAGTTCCATAAGCGTCACATTATAATGTAATATCTACTGTATAGTTATTTCAATATATAATTTTCAAGGAAACTCTTTATTTTAGAAATAAATTAATGTGTATATTTGTTTCTATTCAGTCCGTCGCTAGCTTATTTACTATCTGTTTCTTGAAATCTGTTTGGTTAAGCAGCAGTTCAGCACCGGAAAGTTAACGGCTGATATAGTATGATATAGTACTTGGCTATGAATGATAGAATCTAAAAATTATCACGTCTCAGCATAAAAGAACAGTTTGTAATCGAGAATTATTCATTATATTTCATTAAATCACAATTGTGATAGCGATTGCTGGAACAGTATAGTGATAATCTTCATTATTTTTAACAAATACAAATGTTGTGACATGTACCTAATATCGCTATTGAATTTATACTGTAGAGTATATACTCGTATGCTCTAGATTCATTACAATCGAACTACTGAATAATTTAAAATGCAACGAACTCAAGTTGACTTTACAATGTAACGAACAGATACTTTAGATTGTGGTTATACTTAAACAAGTCTTGTAAATGTTACATTAAATATTTGTTTTAACAGAAATCGAATTTCCAAACTGCGTAAGTAATCAACCAAATATTGGAGCTTATTATCGTGTTTGTTATGCTTTCTATTTGACAGAATTTAAAATGCTTGAAAAGTAAGGTAAGGTCAAAGTAAAACATACGTGACGTGAGGCACACGCCGTTCCGAGTGGTCGTTTAATGTTATTATTTCTTGTTGTAGATTTTTAAGCTGATACCTAATCAAAACAAAGTATGTTTTGATTAGATACCTAATCAAAACAAAGTATGTTTTATTAGGTATTGGTTTCAATTAATGATCTTCGTCAATTGTTTGTTTGGCGACCACAAATAATTAATTTGGTATGTTACTTATATTGAAAAATTTAGTAATCAAAACTAAAAAGATTAATTTTATTACTTGATTTTTCGTTAAAGTATTAAGTTTTGTAGATACCATAAAATTTATTGAGTCACTATTACAACTTATATATATTACATATTTTGTTTTTGTATTTTTTTTTTTTATATGCTTTTTTTATTTTTATTCTTTTGTCTCTCTTGCTGTGTATTACGTGTATGTTTTTTTTTATTGTAATTTGTGTGCTGTAAGTAATGTAAATAAATTATCTATCTATCTATCTATCTACAACTTAATTTTTAATAACATACATAAATTTCTTAATTACCTAATTTATTTTATTATCATTTACAATAATTTATTTCTCGGTAAATTTACATTAAATCTCGTAGTTGTAACAATGTGCACTAAATAGATATGAATAATTATATTACACTATAACTTATGATCTCGCCATATGTTCCTAGTATGTCCTAAAGGTGTTGTGTTGTGCCTAACTACGGCTGCTAACTTGCCAAGTGTGGTAACTAGGCTTTAGCAAAACCCCTCTTATAAGGGAGGCCTATGTACAGCAATTAACGGTTGATATAATAATGATAACTCAAGATAATTATCATGTAATAATGTTATTAACGTTATTACCATTTTTTTACATGTTACAATGCCATTTAAGAATTTTATTTAAGCTTTTCATTTTAAGTCTTGGAGGGGTACTCCTTTATTATTAGCATTAGCATTTAGCGCCTGTTGCTGTTGTATATAATATGTAAAAATTTATAATATATATATATATATATATATATATATATATATATATATATATATATATAAGAAAGTGAGTTTGTTTGTTTACCTTAACAGCGGAAACAATCGTCATAAAATTTGGTATATATTGTATAATATTTTGGATGGAGATGGATATACGCTACTTTTTATCCTGATCACGCGAACGAAATTGTTCTAAAAGGATATAATAGAAACGTGGAGCCTTGCCGCACACACTTATAAATAATAAAATTGTATTGTTTCACAAACAACGTTCAATATCAATGTCACTGTGATATTTTATGCGTGCAATAACCTAACACGAAAATATCATTCTTTGTTCCAAAGGCTATTAGTATGCTGTGGTTGGAAAAATGCAACGCTGTTGTATACATAGCTATAGGTAGGTACACCTATTTCCTATTTGCAGTCACGTTTTTGTATGGAAATGATGTTTAAACTTTATAGGAATAGTAAATTGGTATTGGTTATAAATATTTAGGTATTTACATTTATATACAAGTATATGTATGTATATTCATATATAGTCGTAATATAATACAATCGATTAATAAATAATCATCAAATTCTTAAATTGAAATTTACATATCTAAGGTATAATTTTATAATAAAACTTTAAAAAAATATACAAATAGATACGTATGCAAATAATAAAATACAATCTGTGGAAGAATATGTACAGGCTTGTACAAAAGATGTAAGTAGGTACTATTATAATAGGAAATGGCTATAGATAGGCAGTACAAGAATTCTTATTAAAAAAATGAATACCACCAAGTATATATCGACAATCATCAAGCATTGGTTTACTTAAAGAACTTTATTTACAGGCATATCCTGACTGGTCTTGGCACACCGCAGGACGCGGTGACATCAATTGCACTGGATTGGTGTCCGTGTATCGCATACGAGCTGATCGATGCAACCGGCTTTGGGTTCTAGACGCTGGAGTCATCACCAGCATCGATGACTTCCGAAGAGTCTGCCCGCCTAAGATTCTCATCTTTGACATGGCTACGGACCGTTTGGTGAGTTATATATGATAATTTTATACATATTTTAAGGGTAATAGCAGTAAATTTACAGAGTTAGGAAGTATAAGACTAGTCTTCAGAAATGACAACGCATAATAGGTTCTACAGATGTATATGGATGCTGCTCATGTGTGTATGTAACGGTTGCTATTTTGCCTCAAGTGAACTGTAACCTAGTTTGCTAAATTAACTAAAAAAACGTGTTGATTACAAATGATAAGTATATTGTTCTAACACTTTATTGACATTATCGATATAGTTTGTAAATTAATGACATTAATAATTTTAAAACTAATAATACCAGAAGAAGACTGCACAAAAGTCGTTTGCTTGACCACCTCTGTCCCATTTGTGTTTCTACCGTAATGCAGTTGTTTGCATGGCTGTGTTTCGGTTTGAAGAGTGGAATATAACAGTGAATTTATAGGGTATAGAGGAATAACACCTTAGTCCTCAGGAATGGCAACGAATGAGGAGTATCTTGGACGAAATAGTATACCCTGTTATGTCCATGGTACTGCTCATGTCTATAGGCGATGGTAACCACTTTCCATCAGGCAGGCCATCAGCTTATTTGCCATTCTAAGTTGCATAAAAAAAAACTTGCGCGTAATTTTTCCATAATATATAAATAAACACTTTATGACTTAGTTCACAGCTTAGACTTATAGTTAATATGATAATTACGTAAATTTGACAAGAAAGGTAAGTAGCTTTCTTGTCTGGTCCAGGCTTAAATAATTCGATATAATACATTGAAAAGTGAAATTTGTAAATATTCTAATTACCTAATACGAGTAGTAGTGTGAACTAAACCATCGATAATACTGACAAATGAAACGCTCATAAATCAAAGTTTTTATTGGGAAATATGTCTTAATAACCTCTTTTTAGGGTTCGGTTCACCTACTTTAATGAATAAAATATTATTTATTTTCAAATTTTTATGTTTCGGGTTTATTTTTTTGTCCGAAAGTAAGTACGTAATCAGTGAAATCTCGAATATAAAAGGAAAAACATTTAATGAGTACCGAAGGTACTCGTAGTGTCGGGTGGCACAGATATTGTATACATGCTGCATCCCATGACTCGATCCATATATCGGTATTATAGGTATATATCATATAAATTAAATTAGAATAAGTATAACCTTCCTGTGTACAAAATTACATTCAGATCCGTTTAGTTTTCTAATTGGTATTGGGTAATAATTATCCAAATGTGCAAATATCTTTACAAATTTTCATATTTATAACGTTTACAATGTGTGCCCCGGCATAGAATGCGCCACCCCTTTCCTATCCCGCGGGTGTCGTAAGAGGCGACTAAGGGAGGGCGAGGAATGGACAGCAGCGTCCCTCTTAAAAGATCTCTAAAAGCCTAACTGCGGTTGCCAACCCGTCTGCCAGGCGTGACAGTGGACAGTTAACGGCTGAATAAAAAAAAAAAAAAAATAACATTAGTAGGATATTCATTGTCAGGTGTATTTATTAGTTATTAGGTAGGTAGGTAGGTTAATTATAAAAAATCTACTACAATGGTCTCAAAAAAATTAAGTATATATATATATATATATATATATATATATATATATATATATATATATATATATATATCTTTCGATTATATTATTGAAAATTATAGCTCGACACGGAGCTCGGATTGTCCGAGACCAATTCGCGCTTGGCCAATTTTTTGCGATATCAATCCACCAGTAAGTAAGTGTTTACTACACTTACTGTAACCTGTTTGAAAATATAATTAATTGTTTGTATAATAGCAATTACGGTTCGTTGCCGTTAATGTTCCGTTCAGAAAGCTAATTACTATACCTAACTATGTAACGCGTCAGTGGTGATTCACAAGTAATTTATGGGTTTTATAATAATTTGCTAACCTGTTTGATGATATGTTCATTCAATATTTGACATAATTACTGTCATAGATTGACGAGACAACTTGTTTATTATCTTAAAATATTTGTAAAAAACTAGTTCAATCATCTTCGACTTCTACCGTTTTCGGTGGTTGTTTTAGGGGTTTGTATCTGTTATTATAATGTGACTGAAAAATACGAGCATTGTTTAGTGTTTTCGATGCCTGATTTCGATTTATGTATTGCCTATTGTTATGTAATTATAATACTTTTATTATGACTAGTGATTTATAGAAAATACATTACAATTTGATTTTGATTGATATGCTATCTCATTGGAATCTATTGTGAGAAGCGCCTTAATTGATTTCTCGTCTTTATTTTTTGTCCTCCAAGTATTAATAATAATAAGTAGAAGTAATTAATGTAATAGCAGGATGAATTGTAAGGTTATATGTACTTGTAGAGCTTCTAATTTCTTTAATTTTATCAATGCATTGTCGGATCGGATGATCAGATAAATCCAACAGCTCCCTGTTGGATTTATCTGATCTGATAGAGAATCTGTATTTGTAAGTTTGTTATTTTCGTTTATTTGACTATCTACTAGTAATAAAATAGAGAGAATATAAAAGTTAACGATATATTTTAAAGTATTTATTATAGTTAGAAATATATATAAAAGTAAAATTTGAAATTTTATATTTGAATTGAAGTGCTTAGTGTACGGCAACTGCTGCAAAGCCAAACGGTCAAAATGTTAAATAATCTTTTATGGTCATTTATTTTTATAATATATTTTTTAGATCGATATTTTTTTATGTGATTTAGAAGGACAACCAAGTTGACGGCTCGATGCACGGCCTAATGGAAAGTGATAACCGTTGTCTAACGACGTGAATAGTACAATAGACACAAACAGAGTATACTGTTTCGTCCATGATATCCCTCATGCGTGGCCATACCTAAGGATTAACATGCAACTGCTTCACAGTTGAAACATAAATGGGATAGCGATAAAAAATGTTTATAACTTGCCGAGTCCTTATAACATTATCTACGTGTAGTTACTAGCTAATCATTAGGCAGAAATAAAAATACTTTTATGAAAAAAAAACTATGACTTGTACCACCTAACATATAATACCTACTTTATATAGTACACATAATTAAATAATATCAATCCACTTGCACATACATCGATACTTAAGCAAATTGTTTCAACGCTAAATTAGGTACTATTAATAAATAAGAGGTTACCACACTGCCCCCATCTATTTCTATCACTATATATAGGTATAAATTGCCTACCGTATTCTATCAATTTGACACACTTTACTTTGTATCTAAGCGGATGTCTAACAAAAAGTTTTGACAGCGAGCGTTTAATTTGTACTACGCAAAGAAGTAATGATTGTTTTTCAATCGTGCCTATTCATAATTAATTCCAACTGTAGAACTGCCGCTACACCGTTTTCTATTTAGTCGTAGGTATTAGATTGTATGAATTCGATCACAATCATATTTCCGGTAATTCGTATATTGTTTAGCAATCATTAGTTATAGGTAGGTATTTTACACATCGCCTCCCCATTTAGAATCGTCCTTAAAAAGTATTGAGAGTAAATATTTATTTTTAAAATAATCAAAAAGGATTAAAAAAAAAGTATTTTTAACATAAATTTAAAGTTTAACATTTTTTTATTATTGATCCATTTGATTGTGTAAAAGTTTATAATATTTTTAATTTATTCAAAAGTAGTATTCGTCTCTATGGACAGGTAGAAGTTTAAGTATATATTGATATTGATAACCATGATTTGTAAATTATTACAAATTACAAGTTTTAGGATTACCTAAAACTTTTACAAATTATGGTTATCCACTTCATATAGCTAGTATTCATGTTTAGTTATATTAATTTGATGTTGATCAATAAAGTTATTCATACATAATTCATGAACAAAAGTAAAAGTATAGTGCGGAAATATAGAACGCGAGTAGGGTGATCACAGTGTTCCCCTGCATGAGACAGTGCTTCATAATGAGCTATTTTTTATATACATAAAATATATACGATCATAAAACACATAAACAACAAACTGCCAAAAAGTTTAGGCGCGATTTTATTCTATGTATAATTTTTTTAGGATTATATTCTGGGAAATAAAACTAATTAATTACTAACTTATAATCATTGTATAATCTTTGACCATCTGTCTATAACTTAGTCTTTTATAGTATAACTTTTACAACTTGTGGCAGTCTACAATAAGATAATTAATGCGACTTATAATAGCGTAACCTAGGGAGAAAAGGGATTGTTAGTAATGGAGAATCCCATTGCTAGCAATATACCCAACCAGGTCGAGCTCCTCGCGGCTCTCCCTGGAAACTATCATGGTTAATTTCTGATGAATTCATCATGATGGACTAACTGACCTGTTTTCATTCTCATCTATCACCCTTCACTGATGTTCCGCCAGCATATCCCGTTAGCGCAGGCGGGGTTATCATACCATTTTCACCCATAAAAAAAAATTGCGTAACCGTAGAGTTAACAGATGCTTACTATCAGGCCAGACATATAGTGCTAACAATTGTCATATAGAAAAACTCATACACATTTGCTCATACATTATGAAACTGGATGAAAATAAAATGGTCATTTTTAGAATAACAGAGACATATATTGTGTCAATAAATGATAATATCTCTATTGACAATATTTTGGTTACTTTATCACTATACTTACGAGTAGATACGAAATGAAGTCGAATTTTCTACATCTTAACCATACAGTACTTCGAAGCGTAGCGATAAAGCGTGCACAACATAATATCACTGATCATAATAATGAACGCGTGTCAACAAAATGCGTGCCGTGTTGAAATTAGCGGTAGACAAATAGGGTTCTGTACTAAAAAACTGCAGAGGAACTCTTATGAAGCAATTTTGTCAGACTGTTATAGAGTGTGTATCCAAGTTACTAATGAAATTGTTAAGCCATTATTTTCATTGTTAGTGAGCATTAAAGTACTATGTTGTATCATATATTCAAACGTTCTAAAACAAAGTATTATTTTTTTTTATATTTTGTAATTTCGACTTTTTTTATACCACAAAGGTGGCAAACAAGCATACAGCCCGTTTCATGGTAAACAGACACTGTAAGTTATGTACGCCTGCAACACCAAGGGTGTCACATGCGCGTTAATATACGCTTTTTGAAGGATCCCATATTGTTGTCTCTAAGGAAAATCTCGGCAGAGAGCTAATTCCACAGCCTGAGCGTTCGTGGAAAAAAATTTCTCTGATACTGCACTTTACGTAACTATTTAGGCTCAAGCGTGTGAGGATGAATTCCCTGTCGATGGCAAGCGGTGCGATGATAAAAGGTGGCTGTAGGCATCATTTCAAACAACTTATAAAAAAAGTGTGAAGTAAATACCATATCCATCTCGTCCCTTGAAGCAAATATCTAAAATAATAACAGTTTAAAAAAGTATATATAGTATTAGGTATCTGTTTAATATAAAAAATACAATAAATAAAATTATTAATTAAAGTTATTTAATTTAATATAAAATATATTTATATTTTTTATACAAAACCTTTGGTGTAAGTTCGACTTGTTCCTTAACGGTTTTATTTTTTTCAAGATCGAATCACGATCTTAACTCGATCATGGTCGACAATTTGTTTTATTGTTTCCGTTATGACTATAAACAATGCCCCATTCATAAGATTCACTTGCATAATTTGCTTTAGGTAACTTTAATGAGATCATTATTATTATTTTTTATTACAACTTGGAATGACAAACAAGGTGACGACAAGATATCTTTATTAGTTTAAATTACTGCTATTTTCAGTACAAAATCGAACGGACAGTAAGAAATAGCTATCTTATTTTATAACCATTATTATTTATTTATTCCTAAAACTCCTCTCAAGGTTTTGTTCTCATAAATTACTATAAAAAGTACCCTGTCTTATAGAATGCTTCATCTATTACCTTAATCGTGCTAATTTAATTTTGATAGATTACTTAACTAGACATAAAAAATATACATATGTACAGTATACATTTAAATGTCAAAATCAATTTTATATTTTTTATATCAATAAATAATGTAAATAAATAAAACACATAAATAATGTACTTATGTGGTAATATTTTTTCTATAACAATGTAAGATTTTAAGTTTGTTAAGTATTTGTATTCTGTAATGTTGCTTATAGCAAATCTATTTACTTACTTCAGACAAAGTTTACCTAGAATTTGCAGTAATCAATGGAAATCCTTCCAATATATTGATTATTAATAAGGATCTAATTAAAATAATGATCGCTAATATACTAAATTATAATATATCTACAGGGCTATTGGAAACATGATCTAGTACGTTTAGAGGATGTTTAATAACAAAAACACGATTTGTTGATTAAACTTAATTTGTTAATTTCAGTTCGTATTAATAATTTACTATAAATATTTTTTGTAATTCATTATTTAAATTTCTATTTTTAGAGATAATATCTATTTTTATAAATTGAATTATTAACATTGATTTGATTTGACAAAAAAAACAAAAAAAAAACCTCGTTTTGAATAAGATATGTGATATATGTATTATGCCAATAATTATTGGTATTTTTTTCTAATTTAAACTGTCTATAAATATTTTTGCGTTATAGTATGAAAGTGACCTAAATAATCTTAATGCGTATGAGAGATATAGGTACAATAACAATAACACAACATCGACTGCAAAATTTCATAAAAATTGTTACGAAGATATAGCGCAAAAAAACAATAAACTACACTCGATTTATAATCCTTCTTTTGAAAATTATGTAAGTACATATACAAGCACTTTTTTATTTTAAATTATGAAAAAGGTCTAATGTCTTTATCAATGCTATTGATTTACAAATGATAGATGAGGACGAAGTAGGATCAATTAGTCAATCATGACTCATATATATATTAAGAATTAACTACGATGCCCATTTTCCAGAGAAATAAGCCTTTTATTAATAGTAGTAAAGCTGTTAGGCCTCATTACTAACAAACAATTCCTACTTCTACAGTAAAATTTTGAATTTTAGTATCTGCATGGGATTAGTAAAATGATGAAAGGCTCTGGAATCAGGCGCAGAGGATAAGTTATTCTGACTCGTATCGTGGATTATCTAATAAATTATTCTATTTGTTATCTAACAGGAACTGGAATGGCCTATAGTGAAAGGTTTATTTAGAAAGGACAGCGTGTTATGGGTCTAAATAGCCATACAGTTTAAATACGAAACTGTATACTCGCATTTCCTTGAGCTGTCATATTGCCATGTCCTTTCTTATTAGATCTAATTATAGAATATAGTAAACACCAAAATTGAAAATTCAGAGTACTATATTATATTATATGTACCTATATATGACACTCCAGAGGTAAATCATTCCTTAATCTAACTATTAGTTAGCTATAAATGGTAGAGCTAAATAAGTAATTTATGACTAAAACAAAACAGTTTATTTTAATTCTTCCATAATATATCCATATACGTTTTATCAATCAATTGATGGCTAATTATTAAAATCGGTTCGTAATTGACAAAGGTATCGTGTAACGTACACACAAAAAATACAGGCGAATTGAAAACCGCCGGGAGGTACATAATTCTTCCTTTTGATATTGGTTTAAAAAAAGTATTTAAAATTAATTATATAATGATTATAGTGAAACTAACAATAGGTTTTTATAAGATTATAATTATAAATGTACACAAGGCAAATGAGTAACAGGATATAGATAATTATCTAATTGTTGATTTAAATCTATATGTATTTTTATATATCAATAGATACATACGCTACTATGCAAATAGTAGTATTGTTAATTGTGTTGAATGTTTGGAAACTTGTCTTGTATACCTATACATCTTATACCTAATTTTAATAACAAAATACGACAATGGTTTTTCAAACTGGTGAAAAATCTTTATATTTATTATGACTATGACCTATCTGTCAAATTAAAAGCAGTTGAAACCGAGGCCGTTTGTTCGTTGAAAGGGCGTGGTCTGTCATGGTTGCAACAATTGGACTAGGCCTGTACCGGTATTCAAGTACTTATTTACGATTACTGTAGGCGATAATAATTATATAAATTACTAGTTGTTTCTCGTGACTACGACTGCGCGGATATCGTTTTTTCCTATTCCCATAGGTAATTCCAAAAACCCGTTGTAATCAGATATCTTATTTTGGACCTAGTTACTAAATTTGAGCTTTTTAGCAGGTTAAAATTAAGTCCTAAGATTTCTCGATTAGTCGACAAGAGAGAAAAATAATTGATATCATCATTATTATAATTATTTTTTATCCATTGCTGAACATCGATCTTCTCCATATTTTGTCGTAAAGCATCATCTCATGCATCTTGCGTTCATTGACTTCTTGCAACACTTTCGAAGTTGTCACTGTAACTCCCTTTCTACTGCACATGCCTTTACGTAGTTACCGTTTTAGAACCTTTTTGCTCAGTGGTTATCCTTTATATTGTACTAGTATATGTATTAAACTATTACACAGATTTACAGATTCAAAATTAACGAGATTTAATAATCAATTTATGAAACCACTGATGCTCTTCTAATAGCATCCTATATATAAAAAAAAGCTTGTTAGATAATTTTACAATATCCAATTTAACTTTCGTTGCTATCGCATATTACGCTTCTATATGATACGAGTATATACATATTATGCTCCTTCACTTGGTAGAGTATATAATATGCCTAGTTATTTTTTCTTTAAATACGACGACTTATTTAGTAATATTATTTAAAAGCACTAAAGTCTTGTTCTTCGATTTGAACATGTAAATTTAGGAATAAGATTATAACAATTTGGAGTGGCGTTGAATAGATGATAAAGTGTTATCGCCAGTAAAGTGGTAGTTGATTAAATTACTGTAGTAATAAAATAAATTTATGACTTGCATTACAAACTTATAACTATTATAAATTAATGAATCAATTTAATTTATATTACACGAATATAAGGATATTAGATTTTCTGTGATGTATAGGATAGAGATTAAAATATTGTATATTTTTTACATGTAAAAAATATTACGCATCTAGATTTTTTATGTCATTGTACTACTTTATATGTAAGTATATTTATAATTCTAATATCATTAATCATATCAACAGTTTGTTTCCTGTTGAACATAGGCTCTCCCTAGGAAGGAATAGTAGTTTCCACGTTTGACAGGCGGGTTTGCAACCGCAGTTAGGCTTTGGTGATATTTTAAGAGGGACGCTATTGACCATCTTTCGACCATTAAATTGCCTCTTACGATACTCACGGGAAGGAAAGTAGTGGTCCATTTTATGCCGGAACCACATGGCATTTCTAATAAAAATTGTTGATTTAAATATGTATTGAGAAATTGATGTGACAGTTGTTTCAATCTTATCATTTAGAAAGCAAACTTTTTAAGCAATACAAAGTTATTTGTATTTAACTCTCGAAATGAAATATCCAATTTATTTGAAATTACTAGTTAAATATAATGCAACATAATTATAATTCTTTGATGCATAGTTATTCGAGCAATTATGTTGTAACCTACTTTAACCTATTTCCGATATATCAGATACCTTCTCTTATAATATTTTCTAATTCTAATATTATGTTTAATATTTATATATTTTTTTAAATGTGTATGGACTTAATGCTATTTGTAGTATTCTCTACTAGTCAACTTTTTGGGTGAACATCATTCTTATTCTATTTCAGGTACGAAGCGTGTATTTTCCGCGGGAGCTTTTGCGTCCAGCTTCTCTGTTGACCAATATTGTATTGGATGATACGAGAACACCTTCCTCCCGCCTATCCAACTGCGATAATATATTTGCGTATATCACAGATACTGTCGCTCCAGGTAAAATCTTTTAATTATTTACAGGATTATTATAATGAGACTCTATTACTTGCAACTTAAGTTAAAACAGTTTATTGTCAGTTATTACGTAGGCATCTATTAATTAAAATTATAATTTTTAAATTAAAATGAATTGTGATTGTCAGTATTTATAATCTACAAATTTTATACATTGTCATTTCATCCTTTAATCATTATGTTACGCCCCTTTTAAAACCTAACTTGAATACTTAGATAAGTACTCGCGACTTATGTAACATATCATAATGTTAGTTCACGGCTCACTTAATTCTCACTGCAAAGAAAAGCATTTGTATAGTAAGTGTGTCGTCTAGCAACTAATAAAAATTATGACGCACCTACTAAGCCTAGCTACTAAATGTAGATAAATGTTACGTAAAGTGACTCAGTTTCTTTCTATCATGTTATAGAAATGCTGTTATTTATGTATGGAAACTTTACGATATTGTGACCGATTAAAATGGTTATTAAAAAAGTTGTTTGTTATAAAAAGGGTGAAATCAAATTTTTTAGACATTTATGGAAGCGTTATAATACAGTGAGTTCATCCATTATCATGTTCAAATTTTTCTTTTGGGGGAAAATGTTAAGTTTCATTAGTTGAAAATTTTCTTAAAAAAGATGCAATTAATTTTGATTTTAATCAGTATACGAACGTAGATAATATAATAGGTATTTGAGTGATAATGATTTATATAGGTAGGTATACTTATTTATAATATGGATCCATGGGATCTCAGATCACAACTAATGAATTTCTCTAATTTAGTGAAGTGTTTAATGCCATCAAAAGTATTTGTTAAACTACTTATACGAATAGGTACGAAGTCAAAGTCAAGATCTAATAGTGGGATCCATAGAAAATGGAATTAATGTATTAGATTTTAAGTTGGTGTTTATTTTTATTTTTATGAATATTCGGCACAAAATGGTATGTAATATTTTTTTTAATGGATAATAATGGAATGGTATCCTCGCCTACGCTAACGATATAGACTGGCGGGTCACCAGTAAGGGACGATAGGTAAGAATGGAAAGGCAGGTCATTAAGCCCACCTGGAATTCAGCACAATGGTTTCCAAGGGGGACCACGTGGAGGTCGACCTGACAGAGTATATTGCTAGTAATGGGTAGTCCGCATTACTAACAATCCATTACCCTCCCCCCCCCCCCTCCCCACCGGTATGTAACATTAAGTTATTGATCAGAGAGCAACTTTTGTATGATACACTATTCTAACTAATTTTTACAGATTATTTATATCCCGCAAAAATTGTGACTTAATAAAAAATCCAATATCGGCTATGCAACCTTAAAACGTTAACTTCGAACTGTAATAACGTACTAAAATAAGTATTTTTTAAGTGATTATTAATAATAGTCTTCTATTTAGTATCATAATACTGTATGGTACCTAATGAAAAAAAACATGCAATTGTTAGAATTGTGCAAGAAGTTATTGTAGGTACTTAGATAAGTATGTCGGTGTATATATCGCTAAAAAGAAAACACAAACTTCCCATAAACGCACGAAGATTGCTGTTATTTTATCGAATACATTGTTGCTCGATAATTCGACAAAAGTAAATAAACGAATTATAGTTCCGTAAAACGCACATGTTTTGGCATATGGCGTTCACTGACGTGTATCGTCCGAGACAATGATACTTTCTCTTAAAATGTGACGCAAGTTACGCGTAAAACACTCGACAGCAACGTACACTTGCTAATTAAATTGATGGACAGGTTATTTGGGTGAAATTGTAACATTGCGTAATGTATGAACTAGTTTGTATGTTAGATAAAATAATAACATGCAATTGACTTTTTCTATTTAATTCTAACATGAATTGAGTTGTTACCAAGGTAACTGACACTGATTGTCGTTTATCTTAAAACTCTGTTGGGCGCTTTTGCAATTTAACGTAGTACGGCAAGCCACGATGAGATTTTATCAGCTTTACATAATATGATAAAATGGTAACGAAGTCAAAACTGTATGCGAAATATTTTTAGAAATGTACTGTTTGGACATACGTACAGTATATGCGTTACCTTTGTCTTACAAAGGTTTTTAAAAAAAAATCCGTGTATATTTATCGATTTGTTACTTTGTATGTTTATGGTTATGTTATTAGTTTACATTTCATGTAATACAGTTAAACTAAATATTTTTTTTAACAGTTATTAATTTAGCTATGTATGAGTCGACATAAAAATTATACAAAGGTTCTACAAAAGCATTAAATTGTTATTTTTTCATTGGCATCTATAGATAAATTGAGTTGAGAGAGTGTGTATAGAATGATAAATGTGTAGTGTGATAGATACAAGTAATATAAGGAATAAAATTGTGAAAAAGTATTGTATTAAATTAAATCTACATTTATACAAATATAATTTTCAGTAAAGTATATGATGTCGCAGGCAAAGATAGTGACGATAATAGTAAAGTAAAATTTTGTCCATATCTTGAAGGTCGTGGTCGTCAATTATATCGTAAAAAATAAAATTATGCCGTGTATTTATGCAAAGGTTTCATTTTAATATTTGCATTTTTCAGCTATCATTGTGTACGACGGGCACCGCGATAACGCGTGGCGTGTCACCCACGCCTCTATGTATCCAGACCCCGATTTAGGCGAGTACGACATTGGTGGGGAGCGATTCACCCTTATGGACGGCATCGTGGGACTTGGCCACTCGCCTACGCAAGGGCTGCTCTACTATCAACCATTAGCTACTGACAGGTATTATTATTATTTCTTTAAAGTTGCGTTAAGCATTGAATATCCAGGATTCTCATATCGCGTTTTCGTTAAATATACGACATACATATAGAGCGTTATATCAAGTTTTATACATCATATGATACATATATAAAACATGTCTAGATTTATGTAGATATCTTGATCCTATAATGGTGTATGAAGGCATTTTATTCCTAAAGAATGGTAACGTATGAGGGTATTAGTAATATATTATGTCTATGCTACAATTCTTGTTTGTAGGCGATGGTTATTACTTTCTCTTAAGTTACATTTCTTAAAATATAAAAAAATTCGTAAACATTATGTTTCATGATGTATTTTAGTGGAAAACGGAGCTAATAATGGATCATGAGAATAAAAAAAGTTTTGTTACTCGTATAGATATGAGAAATATGCCTTTTTACAATTTACTTTTACATATGAACCGGTATGATAGTCTAATTGAAGTCTAATTGACTTGCCGGGCTTCAAATTAGCAATTAATCAGCAAAAAAAATTATATAGGCACACTTTTAGCTTCCCTTCTAATTTCAAAATTAATGTGTATTTTTAATTTATCTTCATTACTTTGCATAATGTTACTTTCTTACGATTATCATAACCCGTTTATTCGCAATAATTGTACCTCTGGCTTAATCAATCAATATTAAACCAATACGGATAATGTCAGATCGTAAGATACTGCTATGTTGTACAGATAGTCAAATTGTAACAAGGTCAAGGCTATGTCTTGGATATTAATTACTTATTATGTGTTTTAAAAAATTAAAAGATATGCTCGCTTCAAATACGTTCGCGTGATAAATACATTTAATAAATTATAATTTAATGTGTGCCATAACTTTCATATTTTCAAGTTTCGCTCGCTGCCCTTCCTTCGATTAAAAACTTCTCTTAGTCGCCTATTACGATACCCACGGGAAGAAAGAAGAGGCTTATTATATGCTGGGACCACATAGTTCAATATAAAACATAAATTAAAAAAGCATTCTTTGAGCAACCCGTAAATATTTGGTATTGATCTGATACTGTTTAGTAGTTTGTATACACACAAATTCGATATGAATATAGTTAAACTTTTTAAAAAAAAAACAACAGTCGGGTTTCTTGCACACACTTCTTGGATTAAATTGCGTTCCGAATGGGAGGTAATGAAAAAAATACTATTCAAAAATGCTTAAAGTTTATTTGAATAAAAATATGTCTTTCTTTCTTCTTTTTTCTATGGTTTTTAATATGCTTGTTTGGTAATTAGGTTTTCATGGTGAAAATATAAATAAATAACCTAATTTTACGTTTTTATTATAGATTTTTTTAAATTATTATTTTATACAATGTTTCATATCCAGTTACGCTACCATAGTTTATCATCAGGTAAGTCACGCCAGAGGCTTCGTGTGCAACGAAGTTGGCTTAAAGATTTTGACACCAGATGGGGACAACCTCTCACGATTATTACTATCACGAGTACTACAACAATTACCTTGTTTCATTTCAGATTGTTCAGCGTATCTACAGCGGTACTAGCAGCGGGCCCACCAGCTGAAGGGACAGACTTGCCGGTTAATCTCGTAGGCCGAAAATCTTCACAGGGCCTCGGTCTTGCGGTTGACCCACGTGACGACACGATCATCTTCAGCCCCATAACTGAAACTGCTATTGCTGCCTGGAATCCACTCACTAATTCTCACAAGTAATTTTAACATTTTTATAAATGTGAATAGTTTGTAAAGAGATCACATTTGATGCAGAAGGAAACCTATATATCTATAGTTAGATATCTCTGTCTCACACTGTGTTTCTGCCGGGAAGCAGCTGACTTTATATGGCTATGTTTTGATTTGAAGTGTGGGGTATGGCAGTAAAATTACAGGATATCGAGGCATAACGTCGTCGTCCTCAGGAATAATAACGGAGTATCATGGGCGTTACTGTATATTCTGTGATGTTCAAGATATTGCCCCTGTCTATAGGCGACGGTTGCTACTTCCGATTAGGTGGATCATTAGCTTGTTTGCCATTTTAAGTATCATAATATACATAGGTTGGATATTTTTAATTTAATTAAAATAATAAATAACATGAAAGAAGAAGCATACAGTTTACAGTTAGTAATAATTGATGGAATTCTTTATCTATAAGTTAATAAATTTACCTACAGTAAGTGTTCTATGTAATCTTAAATTTATGTAACTACAGATTACCTAAGTAATTTTATTTAAGATGTAATTATTATAATTTTATTTCAGCAACAAATTATATTTAAAGCTATGATACTCATGTTATTATGTAGATTGTTGGCAATGGACGCGGAGAAGCTGCAGTTTTGCGCAGAAGTTCGATGGGCGGAACGCGACCACGGCTCCGTGTGGGCGCTCTCCACTCGCTTCCACAAGTTTTTCCGAAGAACTGTTAACAAGAATGAGGTATAATTTATATATAATTTATTTTACAAAAACCGCTTGCATCAAGCATAGCAAGGAACATCATAGAGTATGTGTTAATAGGAAAATTTTGTGACCTCCTGATCAGTCTAGTAGTGGTAGTTAATAATAATAGCAATAAATTATTTCATCGCAAATTAATAATTAAATCAAAGTAACGCCAACTTCTAATTTGTGATTTAAGATTTTAATATTAAAAGAAAAAAAAAAAACTAAATATGATATCGATATGAATATAATTATGCTAAGAAAACATCATAGTGATAAAAACCATATTATTTATTCTTATGGTGACACTTAGAACAAAACTAACTCTTGTCATACGTCTCCTAACGCGTAACGCAAAAAAATCAAGTTACATTTACTATAAAATATATTTACCTGCTGCTTAAACCTTAATAATTGTTCCCGAATGCTATTAGAGTATTATATGATAAATAAGTAGTTTCAAACTAAACAGAGCCTACACTAAAGGTAAAACAACAATACGAGGTTTGTCCGGAAAGTACGTATAAAAGTTTTTTAAAAATTTTATTTTACAATTATTCAGGTAAATCAATTTTATCCCCTTCAAAGTACTCCCCCTGTGACATAATGCACTTGTGCCAACGCCGTTTCCACTGTGAGAAGGCTCCTTGAAAGTCCTCTGGTTGTAGGTTTCTCAGCTGCCCCGTCGTAGCTTTTTTTATCTCATTTATGTCCCCCAAATGCCGCCCCCGAAGTACCAATTTGGTTTTTGGGAACAAGAAGAAGTCACACGGGGCCAAATCCGGCGAATAGGGGGGTGTTCGGTCACCGTAATGGAATTTTTACTCAAAAACTCACGGACAACAAGAGAGGTGTGGGCAGGGGCATTGTCGTGATGAAGAATCCAACGCCCCTCTCGCGCCAATTCTGGACGAACTCGTGCCACACGAGCTTTGAGGCGTCTGAACATCGACGTAGAATTTTCCATCAACTGTCTGGCCTGGAGGGACGAATAATGTGAAGTGGAAGGACGTCCTGAACGTATCTTGAACGCTTTCTCGGCCCTCTCTGAATCTTTTTAGCCACTTGTGGACGGTTGGTTCCTTCACAGCATCATCCCCATAAACTGTTCTGAGATCGGCAAAAATTTCACGGCCATTCTTGCCGAGTTTCGAGAAAACTTGTTACGACGCGCTGCTCTTCAACGGAAGCGGGCTCCATGCCGACGGGGTTTCGTTAAGAGGTAACTTCACAGATGGCGTGACAAGCCAGTTCGCACCGCACGGCGGTCAGACCAGAACTGAAGCATTGTTAGGGACATAAGGAAGGGGTCCTGCGCTTACCTGGCCTCCCCACTCCTCTTTCTCGCATTCCAGAACACTTTTATACGAACTTTCCGGACAGACCTCGTATAGACATATTTCTAGAATACTCTTATAACCTTTAGATAAATGCTATTATAAATTTCAAGTTCGCCATTGTGTAGATTAACTGTAAGTAGTCACAAAAAATCTAAAAGAAAGAACTTCTTTTTTTATTTAAATATAATAAAAATAATAATAATTAGATTTTAATTCACTGTATTTTTATTACTTTCAGATAAATGTGCGTATATTGCGCATACCAGAAAATGGATTTCCATCGTTACAACCACACTTACTACGCCGATCGGCGAGATTGGCGAACTCCACCGTACATTGAACAACTTTATATTCATCAGCTATACAACTAAAGGTTTATTTGTACAAAGACAAAACGTGAATATAATATAAATTTAACCCTGCCGTCAACTATCCAAATTCGCATATTTAATTGGCAAAACATTCTTAACTTTCCGTTTGTAAAATACAAACTTTGCTTCACTGTCGCCTGTGAAGTAGATGCAAAGTATCTACTATATTTACCTAATTTGCATCTGCTATATATTGTCGCCTTTTTGAGTTAGTCGTAAACATTTGTAGATGGTTTTCAGCTCATCTTCAACATGAAATTTAAGAATTTAATATTTGTAGGCATTTTTTTCTAATACTTGAACCTTCATAAACACTTTTTCTTAGCCGAGATCCGATCCCAGTGAACAAAATAAATACCTATAAGGTACCATTATTTTTGTAAAACTTATTTGTTATTTTAATATTTTATTTAATAAAATGTTGCAATATAACAATAAAATGTTACAATGAAATTTAACAATGCCAATATTTTTAAGTAGTCTATATTTATTTACCTGTGTTCATTTAAATATGATTTCAATAGTACTTAGTGAATAAGTTGAATTTGTTACTAATGCCTATTACCAAAACATTTAAGTGTTTTTGTATATATTGATACTCGTTTCCTTCCTAATTATGATCTGATAATAAGGTTTAAACGTTTTAAAATAACATATTTTAAAGATATGTACATGAAAATTAAGTGAATTATTTTTTTTGAAATGATTGTTTAGTTGAAAAACATTTATATTTGAATTTGTAAAAATTTATGCTTATCTATGTTAAGAAAAAATAAAAATATTGTATTATTTTGAGTTACCATAATGAGTTTACTAGGATATTATTATGCAAAAAAAACTATGTCTGAAATATTCGATATCGAAGTAGTCAAATTGATCGCTTGGATGGCGACTAAATTGTGCCATACGGCTATATACTCGTAGACTATTATTTGTATTGCATCGGTGATTGTAAAATTAGATTTACCCAGTTTCATTGAAAAATAAAATAATCGAGTAAAAAATACTTTAGGGTTCTTGTACCTACGTAAGATTTGAACATACCTATTAAGTATATCTTTGTTAAGCTTAACCAATATAAATCTAGATAAAGGTATTTTGTAAAATTTTATTCTTATAGATAGGTAAAAATTGATTAACATTTTTTATTAAGCCCAATTCACCTAGCTGTGTATAAAATGCTTTTGATCTCCGTATCTTATAACGATTCTATTTCCGATTCGATTGAAATCAGTGTCAGTGTAGATATTTTGGCCTTTGCATTGCGATACAACTGTTTTTATACAGTAGATTTGCCAATAATATGTCAGAGTATGGATGCGGAAGGATGTGAACAAATTCATACAAAAACTACATAAACAATTTTAGACGTCTCTAACGAACACCAATTCCGATGTCCTGCCATCTGATTGTTAATACTGATAACACAAAAATGATACAACAGACTAAACCACAAAATACTCATAGCTACTATGCAATATGCAAAGTAGTAGCTCCACTGCACTGGAAACCGAATTTTATTTATGTTTCTATCATCAAGATGACTAAGTTCATAACTGCATCGCCTTTGTTTTTCACTTCCCTTAATGTTTTTTACTTCACTCTTCTTTTATGCATATTAGGTATATTGCGCATTGTCCGTTCTGTCTATTTTATTTGAGTTTATGTTTTAGTTTCATTTATACATATTCATGTTAAAAAACCTATATCTTTTATTAGTTATAATAAGATGATTGTCTGAATTATCTGATAATTGAATTTTTTGTGTGGTGACCGTGTAAAAATGAACTATAATTTATATTACTACTATTTTGTATCCTACCAATATTATAAAAGACGATTAGAAAAATACCTAAATATACACTATCCAGAAAAGGTAAGAGAAGAAAAAACGATGTAAAATCATACCGCAAAGCCGGGGTGGTAGAAAGAGGTTAAATAGGTAAAATACCTATGAAATATCATATGAAAAAGATATATTTCCAAGAAACATTATTTCTGTTTTTGCTACCTCTCAGCTACATGTGCGTTATGTTGTGTTTATACTTAAATATTTAAACAGATATTTGTACTAGCCAGACTTTTTTTAATTTGTACGTAATTAACATCTACCTACAATTAACATTCAAAATAATAATATGAAATGTCAGTTATAGATTACGTATCTGGTGCCATGTATGGGCATTAGTTTGTTTATTCAGTAAAATGTATAAAATAAATTGTATTTTATTAGAAAAAGTCACAATATTTTAGAAATTATGGAAGTTTCACCCGGTGACGGTAGGGAACGCAACACTCGTGGCATCATAGCACATCGTAACTGGTTTAAGAAATAATTTAATTTTAAGGATGTATTTATAAGTGACGTATTCGTATATTTATAATAAAATATTAAAAAAAATATTCTGTGATCTATTGTTTTATTATATTATTTTAATTTTTACATGAACATCTGCTAAAAATAATTGAACATCATTATAGGTCTGATAACAGACGACAACCAATGGGGAACAATTACCTCCTAACGGCAACCACAGTATATTTTATTTGTGCGGCAACAATTAAAATAGAAAAAAAGGACTGTGTCTATACTCATTACTTTTTGATGAATCTTGAATGGATATTTTATATAATGAAATTCTAAACACAAGTAAGTAGCAAAGAAATATTATTAAATTTCATTTAAAAATGTTTATTATAGTAAGCCACAGGCAGTCAGGCTACTTGTAGTGTTTAAAAGGTATTAAATTAAACTATCTTTGGAATAATATCAAAACTAAAATTTTAGTGATATGTTCATTAAAATTAGCGTACCAATCCAGTAAAAAAAATGAAAGTCCGTATCTGTATTCGAATCTAGACACTAATGATCCGTAATCATATCCGTATTTGCAAATATTTACATTTTAAACAACCCGACATATCTCTAGTGAGTAGGTATTATAATAATGCTTACTAATAGAGACACTATTCCGACAAACTAAGCTTGTACTCTGATTTGTCAGATCTTATTCATTTCATCTTTAGACAGACGGTATGAGAATAGTGGCTTAAAGTTCCAACTTAAACTTTATAGTACGTATTAAGGACAATACTGGTTGGTTGGATGATATTGCCAAAGTGGTCGATAAGACAATCTTTTGTATAATATTTATCATCACATTATTCTAAAAACAAAAATTCTAAGAAATATTGGAGGATCTAAATTGACTGTTTTTTTACATGGATGATAATGTAATGATAACTCCGCCTGCGCCAACGATATACGTTGGTGAGGTACCAATTAGGGATGATAGGTGAGAATGAAACAACAGGGCAGTTAGCCCATCGTGATGAATTCACTTGGAATTGAACACGATGGCTTCCAGGGGGAATCGCGAGGAGGTCGACTTGACATATTGCCAGTAATGAGACTACTAATCCCCATTACTAAAAAACAATTTCTTCCCTCCAAGTTTTTGAGTTAGGCCAAAGAGAGATGCTATTTAAAAAAAAACATGTGCGCTATTAGCTAATTAAATTTTGACTCGGTTTTGAATCTCGATGCTCTACCCGTACAATCTAAGAATTAAATAAATTTTAGTTAAAAAAGAGTATAAAGTAGTTTAGGCAAACTACTCGTACGCAGGCAGTTCTGTAGAAGGTAGTTCTGATCTATCTATATATAGGTATATCTCCAATTTCTCACAAACAATTACAAACATATCATTCTGATGCGCACAATTTCATCAACAGTATAATTAAAAAAAAATTGTAGGAAAAAAAACAATATGATTATCTCTAGGAAAACCATGCAGTATATATGACGTTTATGATAAATTAGTGCATACTCTATACTCGTACATACTCATACTGAGTACTTAGTATGAGTTTCAGTCAAAATGTTAATATATGCTTTGACACCAATTACTCATCAAAATATCATACTGGTATCTGCAATGTTTCATAAATATTTATAATCGTTTGTTTACACAGCCATTTGGTTTCACGGTAATAGGGACTTTTTTTATATTCTTTGAAAGACTTATCAACATAAATATAATAATAAATATTTTGAAATTATTGTTTTACAAGAGAGTAACCATGTATTATAATATGAATTGCTGTCATAAAATTAAATGAGTGAATCGTGACCATAGGCACGGCTCATAACCTCATTGAATCATGTGTTTGCTAGTAAATCTATGCAATTTGCTTGGGAAAATACGCGAGAACGAAATAGTCCTGAATTCGCAAACAATTTATAGGTATTGGACAAGATGATAGAACCTTTTTAGTTTGGACATATATTTACTATATTTGTTTTATATTTTGAAAATTGGTAAAATGTACTTCAAAATGATCGGTCAAAATTGGTTTATTATTCGTCATTTCAACCATTTATATATATACAAGGTTTCTCCCATAATTTTTTATAAAGAACGGAAATTCCTGTGCAACATCTGCTTTGCATACATCGAGTCCGGTCTAATTGTTGTCAGCTAGAGAGTATCAATAATTTGATCGATATTCCCTAGTTAGCGATAGTAATACTATTACATTATATGTGGCTAGTCAGTGATCGACCTAGAGTCAAGAAAAAAAGTAATTTATTCTATACATTACTATAGATCAGCAAAGATGTATTATTTTTTGTTTGTATCTAGACGTAGAGGATTTAAAAAAATTGGTCTTTAATTATTATTGGGGTAAAGAGAAAGAACATTTTAGATTTATTTCTATTTTGAATTTGGAAACTGTTTCAGGTGAATTAGCTTCTAAAAGGCTGTTTGTACGGGAACTAGAGATCTTATATTTAGATTCTATATAACTATGAAATTAAGAAAATGGGCTTTAGGATTTTTATAAATTTATACTCATCATTTACTGTGGAACCATTGGACTTATTATAAAATCTTATATATTTTATTTGTTTACACTTAATTACAGACAAAAATTACATTAGTATACATTATTTTGAATGAAGATATTAAACATTTTATCTTTATAAAAGTTATTTCTAATGAACTTGGAATCCGAATATTGTAAATATACAATAAAAAGGTACAATATCCTTAAATAATATAAATTACATCATAATTTTTCCCGCGGGAAGATTTGCGCAGCGAAACTAGTTAAGGATAAATAGCTAAATATTTCAAATAGCCATCACTATAGCCTAGAGTAAGACTCTATTTGTTAGGTGAGACACTGCATAGGCATAATGATGTCGATAAATATAATAACCTAATGCATACAACAATGTTGAGTAAGCTATAACTGTACCTACATACAATGTAGGTTAAAAATATCACATCATTCATCTACAGTAAAAAAGTGACATATTGTTTTAGTTCAACCTTAGTTGCAGGGTCACTTTTATTTTACCTGGCGTTCTAGAGCAAAATTTTTATTAGCGTCTTAAAAAAATGATTTCTGGTGATACCGAGTAATGAATCGATAGAAGTTATTTCTGTTGCTGGTTGCTAGTCATCTAGTATCATTGTTGCCATTGGTCTATAAATACACCAATATTTAGAAAATTATTATAAAAGATAATTAATCAGGAGGGGTTCTCTTAAAACAAACATATCATTGGTTATATTAGAAAGCTCTTCTCACATCCTAGGATAGACTAGTCAATTCTGTGGTGGACATGGTCCACCTAGTCCTCTCCTTAGGTATATACGTCTATAATGGTCACATTGATCAATTAAAACTACCGAAATCGAATTTGATACGTGACTTCTGGTGCTTCTCTGACCTCGGATATATAAGAATCATAGTATCAGGTCATCAGGTATATTTCAGCTATACTAACAGTAGTTAGTATAGATGAAATATTACGCCTGATGGAATGCGTCATAATAAAAATATTTTTCATCATATTGAATCAATATGATTGATTCACTCTTTACGTTATACTTACGTGTTCTTGGTTGTGACCATTGAATTTTTCTCTAATTCCTCATAACACTAGGTATCCTAACTTGAGAACCAGTTTGACATATACAAACTTATTGGGATGGAAAAGGACATAGGCTACTTTTTATCCTGCTCAATTAATACGAGTATATCTCCCGGTCATGCGGTCACATATATTGACATAATGCATAATTACATTCGAATTACTAAATAACAATACGTCATTACTAAATGTGCTGTCAATTATAGAATGTATAATCGTTACCTTTAATTTACCACAAAATGAGACAACATACGGTCGGCTAGCTTTGGTTAAAACTTATGAATACTAAAAACATAAAAGTAAGTTTATTAGTTACCTCTTGGTGCTTTAAAAGTTCAACCAGTCGTAATTTTTTTTATTTGTGTCCAATATTATTTGGGCAACAAAAGACATAAGTGCTACCTTTTAATCCAAGTTGCGGGCAAGGACTATGTCATAAGTATATATTTACGTTTATCCAAAGAAGATTTCATCATTTATTAATGATATTGTACTAAGTGAGTTTGTTTTCCGTAGCTGTTAAATTTAATAAATTATGATAATATTGTATTTTTAGTCAACTATCGAAGATAGGAGGATCATTAATATCACCAACGGTTGGTCTCATTTTTAGATGAATGAATTAATATTGTACTATAATATTCTTTATTTACATAGTTTATATAAGTAAATCCAAAGGTAAAATAATTAAATTGTGTTCCATAATAATTGAAATTCTACAAAAAGAACCGACTTCAATTGTGGCAAAATCAGTTACTTTGATATATAAATTAAATTACTACACCGATTTTGATAAAATTTAATATTTGATAAAGCTACCTGTAAGCTATATCCTTTCAGATAAAAAAGGAATATTCCAAATCGGTTTAGATCTGACGGATTTATGAGGCGACAAACATAAGTAATAAAAAAGAACAACCGAATTGTAAACCTCCTCGTTTTTGAAGTCATTTGAAAAAAACCTACTTCAATTGTGGCAAAACCAGTTATTTTGACTTAAAAACTAAACTACTGAACCAATTTTGATAAAATTTCTATGAGACAAACCTGTAAGCATATCCTTTCAAATTAAAAAGAACTTTCCAAATCGGTTTACAAATGACGGAGTTATAAGGTAACAAAATAATCTTCTTCTTGAAGTCAGTTAAAAATCATTACAGCATTAAATAATTAACATATTTTTTATCTTAAGGTATTATGTTTACTTCTAAAATATACATATTTCATAACAATTATAGTAATTTTTGTTCAAATAGCAATGTCAGTGTCCGGGTTAGGTAATAATCGCAACCCATAGATTGAAATTGATAATGTATCAAATAAAAAATATATTTTGGATTATATATAGTCATCGTTATGGCAAAAACACCAATCAAATTGAAAACATTCTAAAGATCTATTTATAATATGAAGACCACAAAGCAACACACTTTTTGTTTAATTTATATGTAATAATATATATAATAAAGAAGAAAGATTTGATTGTTTGTGATGAACAAAGTCAAACACTGCTCAATCGATTTTAAAAGTTCTTTCCCCTATAGAAAGATACATTATCAGCAAGTACCTAACATAAATCATATGTTATTTTTGAAAATTCTATTTATCTGTGCAAAGCCGGGCCAGATCGTTAGCGATCAATTATTACGTTTAAGAGATATTTTATTAAGAATTTTAAATCCACTGGTGATTACGGAGAGGAAGGATCCATAGTTCATTACTTATATCAATCGGCGGCTGTTGACACTTATTGGAGTACATTTAAAATGCGAAAAAAGAAATATGTATAAACTTAATTTTATTTTTTAAATGTCTTCACTGTAAGGTAAAGTTCATATTTACCTAAACCATAAATAACTTTCTCACTTTAACATTTCGGTCAATACATGAGCATTAAAAATGCTCAAAATTGAAGTGTAAAATGCATACGTAACGTAGTTAATTAATAGCGCATTTTGCAGAACGCTAAGTGCGCATTCCATAGATTATAGTTAATTTCGTATGCATTCTACGGAACACTGTCAGCTATGCATGCATTCTGAGGATATTTGTTTTCTCGTTCTGACGGCTATATCATTGATTGAAAATCCTTTAAGATTTATGAAACAGATAAAATCCTGTTCATGAACACTATTCTAAAACCCTTTTGCATATCGAAAAGGTCGGATAATTAATAATTTTCTTAGTTTTATAACAAATTGTACATTAATGATTCCCAAAATATTGATCTTTAATAACGTACAGTCAGTTTAAGAATTCTTTACTTGTTTTGTTTAGAAAAAGGTTAAAAAAATATTAATCCGGAAAAGAACCCTTTATTGGATGTACTTATAGGTGCATGAGTTATAATCTGGGAATTCCTATTACAGATGAAGATGCAATAGCCGCGTCAAATTGATACCACACTTATCAACAGTCATCGGACCTGTTTCACAACAGTACTCACTCGCCTCTTGCTACAGACACGCGCACATTTATATAATTTATTATAATAAAATTTACATCGAAAACATCTCGACGATATTTTTAAGGTATGTTAAACTTTAGTTTTTGTATTACTTTTTAACTAATATTTATTGCTATATGCGATTATATATAAAAAAATACTATATCACTAGAGTATAAATCACTAACATTATTATGTGTATAATGTTGTATTATTTTTTAACTTGCATTTATTTTTCTTGGAAGTCTTTATTTTTAAGTAATTAAAAAAAATTAATAAAGTGATATGTTCAATAAATGTACATCGATATTGATAATTCTTTGTGTAATCGTTAGAATTTAATCCTTTATTGATTTTGTTATTTTTTATCACAGAAATTTTAATTAAGTTTGGAATGTGCCTTCGCTTTTTATAAGGTTTTTTTTACGCAACTTGAAATGCTTAGTGGGTTGACGGCCTACCTGATGGAAAGTGGTAACCTTCAGTTATACACAAGAAAAAGCACCATGGACACTACCAAGTACATTGTGACGCCAATTTTCATGTAAATATTGTCAATGTTTTCATAATAAAATCGTAGATAGACTGTATAAGTTAAACAAGAGCGTAGTCTAGTGTTAGTACCTAATTATACAGTTAATTCTATACTTATCTTGTCTAACTTTACCGATTTCATAAAATATTATATAAAATTTAAATAGGGATATCCCTAAAAGAGTAAATAGAGCAACTTATTATCTAAATGTTTATTCCTAACTAAAAACATCATACATAAATCGTTACATCGATTTTTTTACATTATTAGTATTAATTTCGTTACTTCCTTTATTTTTTTTAATATTTTATTCAAGTAGATATATCTAATATTCAAATTATATAGATGCGTAATCTCGAAATATTAAAATATTAGAATAATTAACGGTTTAGCTCTTGTCCATCCATTGTAAGTATTTAAATGAATGAAACTGGTTATTGAATAATATATTGGTCTATAATATTTAACAAATAGACACTTATACCTAATGGGTATTAATTAATAAGATACTTATAATAATATGCAAGTATTTCTAGTATTATTCTAAATAACTTATATTTACATATGTACTTAGGTGAGATATCTATACAAAAATGGTTTTTCGTTGATTAGGCCTCTGTGTCTTATAAATTTTACTATAGTTGTAATCTATCAAACCAAAATAAAGTCATGCAAGAACAGCCTTAAAAAGTATCTTTTTTTTAATACATACAGTAATTAAGAATAGATACCAATGATAGATAGGTTACAGGTACCAATTCCATTTTTGTTAATATTTCAATGCTTCAGTCATTATAATATGATTATTATTCATTTTTGTTATTTTAATTTTTGTATATTATTTAAAACTGCTCCTCGTATAATATAACATTTATGAACCTAATTCCCGAGTAAGATAATTGTCGTCATAAAATCTATATATTCTATTATTTTAGGACTAATCTAATGTTAATCTCTCACAAGCAAACATACCATCAAAAATATAATAGACGCTTTCTCATTTATCATGCAATTTACTACACTATCATCATTATCATCTCAGCCATTATCTGTCCACTGCTGTACATAGGCCTCCCCCTAGACTGCTATAAGAAACGGTCCTGAGCCACTTGCATCCATTGAATCCTGCAATATATTTGAGATCATTTTATTGAAAGAAAATTAAAGTTAATTTTGAAATGAGCGTATTTAAAGTATAGGTGACCTGGTAATTCCCGTCTCTTATAAACCATAGATCTTTATTTAAATACACTTTGTCGTACTGTAAAAATGAGATTTTCTTATACTACTAACTACTATGTGGTAAACAAGTTAGTATGGTCCGTTTGATGGTAAACAGGGTTACCGTACCCTCTGGACGTTTGTAACACCAGAGATGTCACGCGCGTGTTGACGTCCCTAAATTAACCTAACCCAGATTTCTGATTCAATAAATAGTCGCGACAATTTAGACATATTTTTTTCTTTTAAATTGGTTGATAATTGGAGCGAGTAATACTCTTATAATCTTAAATATTTCTTGTAGTTGTTTAAACAGATGATACTAAAATTGTAAATATGTATAGGTATTTGTTTACCTATTGTCAACTATTTGCATTGAAAGAGGACACAATTTGCTTATTCCGTACCATAACAGCTCACGTAATACTTAATTATATTAATTATTATTACTGTCGAGATTTCTAGGTGAAACCTGTTTTATCGATAACAAAATTAGACGTTTTTAGGTATAAAGTAATAATGACATTACATCCGAATACCTAAATCTCATATTTACGAGTTTTTTTTATGCGACTTAGAATGGCAAATAAGCTGAGGCCCCACTTGATGGATAGTGGTAACCGTCGTTTATAGACATGAGCAGTGCCATGGACATAACAGGGTATACTGTTTCGCCCATGACACCCTCCATGCTCCTGTTCCCTATAAATCTCTGCCATATCCCACCGTTCAAACCGAAACAACCATGCAAACACAACTGCTTCACGGTAGAAACATAAATGGGATAAAGGTATCCAAGCAAACGACTTTTGTACAATGTCTCCCTCTAGTGAAATTATTATTTAATACGAACATTGAAATTAATTATACTAAACACTTGAACAATAAAAATATCTTACCTATTATTATTTAAAAACCATGAGAATATTGAAACTTTTATCTGTAAGTGGTTACTAATATTATAAGAACGTAGATTATAATTAAGTAATTACTACTATGTTAAAACTACTAAAGTTACAGAAACCAGCATAGCGTAGTAAGATAATTCTTTATCTAATTTTAATAGATTAATCATAATACCTGCATCGAATTCTTTCTCTTTCAACATATTTTTTAATCTACATTCCTATAAAAAATAAATTTAGCCTATCCAGCCCAGTTAAATGTAGTAATAATGCGTCAAAAAGAAAAGTTGACGCGTAAACTGAAAGTTTCGGAATCCGAATTTGTTTATCGGTGTCATATTGCTCGTAAATAATTTATTGAGTTTTAAAATTTACTATTTTCATAAAATGCTGTAGAATAGTAAATATATTCAACTAGCTGTTAACTGCGTGGTGTCGTGTTTCCACTTTTAGGTTGGAATTTTCAAAAATTTTTTCTTGCTTATCTTATATAGGGTATGAAAAAAATGTGAAACACCATAGATGTGTGTATAGAATTTGAGGGTTGCCCTCGATTTCCTTGCGATCCTATCATCAGATTCTGACTTAGAGATCACCTCAGGAGTATACTCTTTTGTTATAATAGAAAGAATTTTTGAAATCTGTTCACAATTGATGGAGAAATCGGTGGGCATATATCACCTTTTTTATGTCGGTAAAAATAAACCTTTGTTCCAAATTTTTGCTTTCTGTAGAACTGTATTAGTAAAGTTTTGAGCAATTGTAATAACTTTTAATTTTCTCATCAATTAAATATAGTGATTATTGTATCACTCGGAAGAAAATACGATTTCCAACTAGTGTAATTGGAAGATCAGGCATTGAACGTCGCGATCATCGATGGAATCGGTCACTTCATTCTCTTAGTGAACAAGTGAACAGCAACTTAGGTGTTTTGTTATAAAAAATTTCACATGTTAATAATAAGTAGGTATATAATTGTAATATATTTTTTTTGTGCTCAATCATATGCTCATATATATTTAGTGTTTTCAAATTGTATATTTTCCAAATAATTATATCAGCCATTAACTGTCTATTGGTGAACAAATACCTCTTCCTATTGGGGAATTTTGCCAGTAGTTGCCACATTGGCAGGCGAGTTGGCAACTGCAGTTAGGCTTGGTGATATTTTAAGAGTGGCGCTGCTGGCGATCCCTCGACCATTAAATTTCTTTAGTCTCCTCTTACGACACTCACGGTGAATAAATGAGTGGCCCATTTTATGACGAGATCACACGCATTACCATTTGGGTTGATTGGATCAATTGATGAATTACGAGTATCAACAAAACAATATTTGCGAGAAATTGATATGACCTATTATGTAGTCGCCTATATGTATTATTGTTTTAATTTTTTTCAAATATATCTTACAGGCTATAAATAATTAGTGAAAATAGGTTATTAAATTAAAATTATAAAACTCGATCGATAAAACATGTATCAGCGCGATTGAAAAAAAAAATATCAATTATAATTACTCATTCAATGATCTTCATTTTATGATTAGGTTAACGGTTTTATATGAATTTTGACAAAGAGCTAATTATACCGAACAAGCCTAAGAATGAACGTGGATATATGACGTCCTCAAATATTTCATGTCAGTGTACATAGTTATGAATAGGTACCTATCATGTTAAAATGTAGGTATCTAATTGGCGGTTACATAAAAAATTACGTGCAGAATGATGATACAAAATATTTATGAGTAAAAACGATTTTTTACTTTTCTTCGAAACGTCAATTATTGTTTATTATCTTTTGATTTAGGTGTGCTGCTATTATAAAACAGGTAATGATATCGCATAATTTATTATGCACACAAATTTTTGTTTTGTGTGTAGTGTACTTACACACTTAAAATTTTGTTTGGGGGAACTCCAGATTTAAATTTCTGATTTTGTAACGTAATAAATAAATAATGGTATTACTTCATTATGTCGAGAATATGCATTGGAAGAGAGGTGTATAGAAGAAATTGTGACAGACAATTCAATATAAATGATGAGGTTAATAAATATAAGAAATTGTTTTATTAAAAAATATTGTTTGGCAATTGTATTTCATATTGTATTATGGACTATAAAAACATTTCAACTCTTATCAATCGTCCGATCGATCTTTCTCACAGATATTATAATAAAAGATTATACAATAATAGTTTATACAAATTCTAGTGCCTAGAGTTTTGTCGCGGAATCATGGTTGGCTGATTTGAAAGCATTAGGTACTATATTATTTGGGTTGATCGCGTTTATCGGTTTCAAACCAGTATAAAAACAATCTATAAACTCCTTGTCGGCAAACTATCATTTTCTAAGGTACCGTTTCTAATTTTTTAGAAAGCCCTACAAGAACGACGTAAGCGATGCCGAACGG